GCAAAAAGACATTGTCCTATTCAACCTTTTCACAATTAATTCAACCCCAATCTGTTTCGGCGTACCACCGGCCTGTAGTGCATGAAAACACCATTTGTTTTTCATGTTTGATGAAATATTTGCGGGTCCGCACTTGCATTTACTAAGCTGGATTCAGTGGTAAAGATTTTTGACTCTCATGTGCAACCGTGCTGCATTCTGCAAGAGATTCTCAATTTCAGACTTCATTTTCCGCCCCCTTTAATAGAATCGAATAATCTCTCGTCTTTTTGCTGATTCTGGGGGCCAACTAAACATTGTCATTTTTTTCCTCTATTGGTGATAGAAAATTTCCTTTGTCATCGTTTGTGACGCGCCATCGTCACTGTAAATAAAACTGGATAAAACCATCAATTGTCAAAAACTTGCCAACCCTGTCTAATTATGATATTTTTGAAAGTGCTTAAGAATACTTTTTGAGTGCTTGAAAAGTGCTGAAGAAGTGCTTATTTTTGTTAAAAAATGTGACTGTGCACCCTTTGTTAAATGCAAAACCAGGTCCTTTTTTTNATATATATATATCTACGATTTGAAACATAGTTATGGAAAGACTCCGCAGCAAAACAAATTAACACTCCAAAACTAAAGCTTATACGTGTTCACCAACAAGAAATAAAAATGTCCTTCTTCANAAAAAAAAAAAAAAAAAAAAGATAACGAAACTGTAGACTTTTCATAATAATTTTATAATAGGAAGAGAAAAAAATTAAAAAAGAAAATATTTCTGTAAGAAAAAAAAGTAGCGTGTTTTTAAGATTTGTAGCGTTCGAAAAATGATGAGTTGCCCAAAAAGTAGCGAGTAGCCCAAATTCGATTTTCAGTAGCGGGGACTTTTAAAAGTAGCCCAATCCGCTACTTGTAGCCCAATCTGGCAACACTGCATGAGAAGATAGTACAGAAGTGTCCAAGGCCGTAGCCAGGATATTTTTTTGGGGGGATATGGTAAGAAGCAAGGACGGTTTCAGACATGCAAAGTAGGGGAAAAACATTGTAACAAATATTGTTTATTCTGTTGTTTGCAAAAGTTAAACTAGTAATTAAAAATATTAAATAATAATTATTTTTCAATTATTAATATTACATAATAATTATAATCAATATGTAAACAAAGTTTACAAAGACATGCGACGTGGATTTGAAGAAAATTTTTCGATTACTTTTTTAGGACAAACCGGAATATTCCAAAATATGCTTAATAAAGTTAGTTAATAAAAGGTTTGATTCGACAGTTTTTGTTTTTCTTTGTACTGAGAGGCTCAAGAAAAGACGAAAAAGTTTGAATCCCAGAATTTCGGGGGGTTATAACGATATGTGGCAAAATTATGACAAAGAGTAATAGTTTTTTTTTAATGAAAGAAAAAATGAGAAAAAGTCAAAGCATTTTTGCTAATTAAAAAAAAAAAATTCTTTTTAATGGTTTGTCATGGCAATGAATTTTAATTGCTACGGATTTCTAAGCTGATGTTCATAGCTTTTTTTAATAAATTAAATATGATTTTTTTTACATAAAATAAAGATTGCATTTCATTTTTTAATGAAAACAAAATTGTTAGAAGCCCTAAAAATTCGAAGTTCCAATTTAAAAAAATTAAAGGTCTTAATAATTTAAAAAATATAAAATAAGAACAAAATCCATGTACACAATAAACAATAAAATTATCAATTAAAGTACTATACAAATTAAATTTTATATACGAACATAAAAAAAAGCGATTTTTATGTTACCATTCTTATAAAAGACTTCTAACAGTATATAAATATAAAATTTAAATGAGTTAATGCAAACATTTACTTACCTCCTTACATATAAATTTACATTTTGTTTTCTTATTTTCCAAAGAAAACTTTTATTAAGAATAGGAATTATTAATATCACGATTTATGTTTAAAAAAATGAAGTTGCAGATAATTTTAATAACTCCTAATTAAAGTTAAATTTTAATTTAAAAAATTGAAAAAAACAAAAGGTAACAGAAAATTTATATCTGAATTAAAAATGGTTAATTTAAATGACGCAATTAAATAAGTTAAAAACTGGAATTTAACTGCAACGTTTTACGTTTGTCTCAGAAAAAATCTCTTGACAAAATGACCTAAGTAACCGTTAACAAGAGTCATCTGTTTTCCTAAAGCATCTAGATAATTGTTAGTTTAAGACAACTTAAAGGGACATATAGATGGTACTGTAAATATATGACATTTTATAAAAGCACAAAAGAGCCCAGGGTCATAAAAATGATTAAGGCAATTTAAGGAATGAAAAGGTCATTTTCCCATGGTGTAAAAGGAGATGGCTTTTTTTGAGGTGTCAGATAACTGTGGGTCAACTCTGTGGGGGGTATGAAGGTTTTCACACCTTCATACCACCCACAGTCAAAAGATGCTTTCAAATACGTATATCTATTAGTCTATCTACTAGTGTAGATCTATTAGTGTAGAATGCATTTTTCAGATGCAAAACAGTGGTACTTATTTTAGTTTTCTAAACACTTGTTATGTTTTTTATGATGTGCTCCTCTTCTCTTTTCGTGTTTTTGTTTTAAATTTTTTAATAAATTAAAAACTGTAATATGTAGAAAAAAAATTGAATCAAAACCGATGCATTTTTCTAGGGGGGGGGTTTCCATTTCAATTTGAAAAATATCTAAAAGTAGTTTTTTTTTTCTGAAATTCTCAATTCTGTTTTACTTTATTGTAGCGTATGTCAAATTTTCAGATGGGGAGGCTTAAGTTTTCGATTTGGAAAATAGCTTTAAAGTCGAAAATAAGAGTAAAATATAAATTTTACTCGACTTTACTCCTGCGAATGCCTGAAATTCAGAAGGGGTGAAGTATATTCTTTAAGAAGATAATAAAATTTTCTTTTTGGAAAATAGCTTCAAAGTTTTTTTTTATTTTTAAACAATTTTATTGGACTTTATTTCAAATGTCTAAATTTCAGAAGATACAAAAAAATTTTTTAGCCCCCCTTACTTTATATCAGAAGAAAATAAAGTTTTCTATCCCCTTACTACAATTTAAGAGGAAAATGAAGTTTTCTATTTCTATATCGTCGAAGTTATGAAACAAAACAATTTTTCTTCTTCTAAAACTTCCAACTTTACTTGATTTTATTCTATTAATGTCTAAATTTCAGAAGATGAGAAGCAAATTTTTGCCCCCTCACTTTTATTTCAGAAGAAAATAAAACTTTCTATTTGGAAAATTGATTCAAAGATGACAATTTTTTTTAGTTACCAATTTTTTATTATTTTTGAGCACTTTGAAATTTCAGAAGGAGGAAACACTATGTTCTCCCCCTCATTACTATTTCGGACGAAAATAAGAGTAAAAATTGGAAATAAAATACTTTTTCTACTTTTACTTTACTTTTCCAAAAGTTAAAAAACATATTAATCGCCCATAACAGAATAACTTGATGTGTATCTTCAAAGCTGAGAAAGAATAGCTTTCTTTTTCCCTCTAAAATTACCTATTTTACTTGACTTCGTTTAGGCGAATAACTAAATATCAGAGGAGGCAAGGCACATAAATGTTAGAGGAATATAAAGTTTTCTATTTCAAAAATAGCTTCAAAATCGAAAAAAAACTTTTTTTTTTAAATTAATAATTCCTTTGCAAATCTCTTTACTGTCTCATAGTAATTTGTATGCACTTTTTTATGCCCGAACAGTATTATTATTGTTGCACCCCCTTTTTTTTATAGATACAATGAATTCTGTACTTAAAAGTTGTAGATTATGTCTTATCCATCCTTACAATATCTCAGATTTTCCGTACCATTTTTTTTAAAAATTGTTGTTAGAATTTTCAAAATATATTTATATAAAATACTCCATCATGCTATTATACTGTTCACCACTAAATTCAATTAGATTTTTAAAACATTCTGTGTGACAANGACTCCACAGGAAACAACAATTTTGAAACCAAGCGAAACAAGATCTAACAGCCCTTTTTAACTGCATATAAAAAGGAAGTAGACTTAAAACAATGCATTATTTGCCACTAGACTTCGGCTGGTGCGAAATAAAATAGTTTGTTTAAATTGTTAGTGCAAAAAAGCTTTAAAAAATGGCTTGTGCAAATTGTCCAGTGCGTTTGGATTCTGTGAAGGTAAGTGTTTTAATTTTTGTTTTCATTTTTAAAAACGAATAAAATCCATTAGACATAAGCCAAAAAAAAGGGTGGGGGTAGATTTCAAAAATTAGAGTTTAGATCAAAACATGGCTTGTGTGGTTTCAAATGAAAGGTAATTGAGTCTGGAATTGAATAAAATGCATTTTATTTTTTAAGCCAGTGGCGCTTAAGGGGGGAGGATTTCAAAAATTAGAGTTTACATCAAAAAATGTCTTGTGTGATATAAATTTTTTTTTTTGGGCAGTGGAGGTACCTACAATGAAGGGGGGATTTGGTGTTAATCGTGTGAGCTTAGATGCCCATAAATTGGCAGAGTATTTTTCATTTTGTCTGTTTTAGTTTGTCCTTTGTATTAAAAAAAATTGGATAGTTATATACTACAAATATAAAAATAAAATGTAGGGATTACACTCGTAAAACAGTACCTCTTATATCAAAGCCAAATGCACCCTTTATTAGAGGCACATAACTAGTGTGCCTTTAAAAATGACAGACACCGCAAGAAACTAAAGGCACCAAAGCAAACGCGAGTCAATGCTGGGTTCTGGGATAAACAAGAATCAGAAATATATACCCCAGAGCATTTTATGTTCCATACAACAGCCATTCGCTAAAGTTGGTTGTAAACGATATGGCAAAATCCTCGTTTGAGGCAGCCAACTTCTTCAATATTGTTCAAAAGTTATATACATTTTTTTCTTCCTCTTCTTTTCGTTGGGCAATATATTGATACTTACACTTTAAACCATTGAGTGATACGCGATGGGAAAGTCGAGTCAACTCATTAAAAGCTCTGCGGTTTCAAGTTGGTCCAATTCACGATGTTGTACAGCATATATGAAGATTCAGAAATCGATAATATGATCAGAGACGAGACTAGCGGATTATTAAATAATTTGAAGCAGTTCAAATTTATATGCTCTGTTGTGATCTGGTACAAAATTTTGAGTCATAATAACCCCATTAGCAAACTTTTGCAAACTGTAAATTTTGATATGTCACAAGCTATTGATATGCTTAGCAACTGCAAACTCTTCTTTGAAAACCAGAGATCAGATGAAACTTTTGAAAGCATCATTTTAGAAGCAACCGAGCTTGCTTCAGAGATTCACGTGGAAGCTTATTTCGAAACCACCACACCACGTCATCGTGTCAGAAGCAAAACAAGAAAGTTTTTGTATGAGGGCTCGGATGAACCCGTTCAAGAACTCAAACAGAAATATAAAATAGATTTTTTTTCACACTATAGATCAAGCAATAAATGCCTTGGAAACCAGATATAATTTGCTAAATACTCACAGTAATTATTTCAGCTTTTTGCATAATATTTTTGGTCTAAAAGACATTCCCAGAAATAAGCTACTGGCTCATTGCAAAGATTTGGAAGTAGTTTTAACTGATGGAAATTCAAGCGATCTTAACGCTCTGGAACTAGCCGATGAAATAAGCATTGTTTCGTCATTATTAACAAAAAAGGAAACCCCTGTTGAAGTTCTCAAGTTTATCGCTACACTTAAATTCGCACCAAACCTCAGCATAACATTAAGAATCCTACTTACATTGCCAGTCACTGTGGCTTCAGGGGAAAGAAGATTTTCAAAACAAAAAATAATAAAAAATTGTCTCAGAACAATGCAGACGCAAAATCGTCTCAATGGATTGGCAATGATAGCTATAGAACACCAAATTAGTGACAAATTAGACTTGAAATCACTGGTTCGTGAGTTTGCCGAAAGAAAAGTTAGAAAAAGGGCATTTTAATTACTTTGGTTAGTTAGAATTTATTTATAATATGGGATATTAGTTTAGTTAGCATTACTACACTTTAATTTTTGTTATTTTGCCTTAAGTGCTAAATTGCTTATCTTGTTATCTGATGATTGAGTTTTTAATAAAACGTTTTTTTAAATATTTTTTTTCAATGTTTTCTTGCCTTTCTGATATGGTCGCATGAGATTTACTTTAAAAAAAATGGGGGGGGGCGCAAAATTAAGGTTTTGACCGGAGCACCAAAATGTCTAGGGCCGGCCCTGCACGCCACTGGGTCTGACGCAATCGACTTGACCGTCGGGGCTCCGGGGCGGTGCCCTGGCGTAGTTACGGCCCTGCTTCTCATATAGAAGCAAGCAATTCATGAGATATTGCAATGAATTGGCTAAAAAGTCAAAATGATGTTGATCCAGTTCAGTAGATTTATTAAAAAAGAATAAGGGATATGGCTGCTCAAAAAAGAGCATCTTCTTTGAAACAAAAGTCTTTGCTGGATTTCTTTTGCAATGGAAAGTAAAGAAAAATTTGGTAAAATCAGTAATTGATAAAATTTTTTTATAAAAAGCTGAAATATGATAGAAATAATTCAAAATAAAAATAAAAAAAACGTTTTAAAAGAATAAATAAAAAATTATTTAAAAATTGAAAAAAAGAACTTTTAAACACGCGCGAGCTATTTTAGGTAGTACTGCCAGTCCAAAGCATAGAAAAAGTGTGAAGGGAAGTTAGTGCATAAATAATAATCATTTAAACTAGATTTAACAACTTTCCAATTATCCGAACCACGTTCGGTCCCGAGCAGTTCGGATAATCGGAGCTCTACTGTATATGTATATATATGCATATATTCGAAAAGTAGTCCTCAAAATAAAATTTCTATAATTCATTATTATAATCAAGCTTTTAATTATGATCGAAGCAAGTTTAAATTACAAAGCAAGGTTGTTTTTTTATCACTTTAAACGATACCATTTTCAATGCCAAAATCCAAAATTTTAATGGAGTCAATTTCTTGGGAAGCTGAAAATTAAAAATTGCAACTTCTTCGAGCATATGAATTTAAGGAACTATTCAGAACATCATAAATTAAAAATTTGCTGAGAAAAAAAAGGTATTTTAGTTCAGATAAAATAAACTTTTGTGTCTAATATTAATACTTAAAAAGCTTTCTGTAGATAAATTATTTAGTATTTACTAGGTTTTCCCTTTATAATAATAATACTGATTTTAGTGTGTAAAAATATTTAATCTTAAAAATGGAGACAATACTCCAAACACATTGTTTAAAACAAATAAGAAAGCTGCCATTTCATTTTTTATTTCTAAATCTTTCATTTATTTTTCTTTTGGAGTTATTTACGATTAGTATGACAAAACGAATAATGAAGATGATGAACTGAAATTTTTGCATTAATTAATAAAATACTCGTTAAATGTTATTGTTTTAAAAACTTTTTTTCTTCTAATGCCTGCCTGTGTTAACATCCGTCAATTCAGGCATCTACAGGGCAATTTTGTGGACCTCTCTTACAGGGGCACCAGATTAAGTGAGCCAACGTCGCTCCCACAGCAAGGGCAGGTAGTACAGAATAGGAAAGAATATCCATACCTTGCCCGGGATTCGAACCCAAAACCATTCAGATACAAGGACAGTTCCCTGCCCCCTACACACGCCGGTCGGCATTGTATTAAAAACTGAAAAACATGAAAATTAAATTTTTGTAAAGGAAATTGACCTTTTCCATATTTGATTCCAAATGCCTCAGATCTTCACATTTCTTTTCTTCTTCGTCCAATGTTTCTTCTATCTTCTTCTCCTACAAAATTGCAATAGCAAGTAAAGATTTATTCATACTTTTAAATTTATTTGATATAACAGAAAACATGAGTGCAAAAAAAAAAATTTTTTTTTTTCAGCAGTTGAAACTTTTTGATTTCCTCCAAGTTCGCCGAAACCTGCTTTTCGCTAAACTTTAAATTATTTATGGAGGTCACGAACTTGTCATGAAGGATTCTTCCCGTGGTGTAGCGTTCTCTCAACAATATTTGTACTCTTTTCTGACATGAAAAATTAAATATGACATTAAGAATAAAAAAATTAAAAACACTATCAAAATTTGTCAAATTATTAGTGAGGAAGGCGGGATGAAACAAGTCAAAACAATTGTTTGATGAAAACTGTTCAAATAATTGTGCTGCAACTTCTTTCTGTCCCACTGATCAGGGATCAGAAATCTACAAATATATTAAAAATATTTCATAAAAATGCTACTCTATATTTATAATTAAAAAAAAAGGAAAAACAATTTAATAATACCTTCTGATATAAGTTTTCCAGTTCATACTTTTCTTCTTGACGTTCTCTTAAACATGAAATTAATCCTAAATTTCTTGTCTGTATAATATTCATTATTTCATCTAATCTAAAAAAGAAGAAAAGAACTAAAATTATGCTCTTCAGTTAAGTAAGTCAAATGATTTCTATTAAAAATATTTTTTTTATTATATTTCATATTCTTTTTTCTGAATTATATATTTTATATCTGCATTTCTTTGCATAAATTTACTGTCCATACATTTTTTCTTTTATTCTATTGAAATATATGACCAAATCATTAAAAACAGCAACAAAATTAAATTAGATATAATTAGAAAAATACATGTTTTGCACTTGTTTAAATAAAATAAAGTTTAAAAAGTTAACTATAAACATACATTACAATGATAATATCAACGGTTATCTAACATTGAAGAAATTTTTTTTGTCAATTTGAAGAGAAACTCTTTTTGTTCCTTAATGTTTTTAATTCAAACTCTTACTTTCTGAAGCTCTCAAACCTCAACAAGGAAAATGCATAATTTTTTTTTATAAAACAAAGCAATATTGAAAAATCACTAAAAATATCATTTGGGATTTAAGAAAAAGCAAATCAAATGAAAATTTAGGTCCATTTTGGGACGATAAAGAAATGTGAAAATAATACCTTCTACAGAAAAAATTTTCTTTTCTAATACTTCTTTTTTATAATTTAGCATAAAATTGATTTTATAGTCATTCATAGGTGTCATTTTTAAATTTTTGACATGCACTGTCCTATACTGTAAAAAATTTTAGTTTATCGAAGGCCAAGAATGGCGGCCGTACCAGGGCCGTATATATGGGGGGTGCCGAGGGGGCCAGCCACCCCCCCGAAATCCGAAAAAAAGATTATATATATATACACGTATAGTTGATATTCGAATGGCTTTGCTCGCAAATAGTTTCCGAAAAAAGGTATAGATGGCGCTAGGAGTACCGTAAATCTAAAATATGGGAGTACAATGACGGCGTGGCCTATTTTGAAGACCCAATCGAAATTTCGAATAGGTTCCTGTTCGAAGATTTTAAACTATTCCAGAAATCAAAGCTTCTCGAATTCATGCGCTCTAACTCAATCTATATGTTACGGGCAATGTAAATAATTGGGCATTGTTTATAATGCCAGGGCAATTTAAAAAGTGCCCAAAAGGATATGACAAAATGATAAATTATGTTGCAAATATTACATTGCCCGGTCATTATGTATAATGCTAAAAGTCAAGTGGGCAATTTAAAAATCAATGACAAATAATAACAAATTTTTATATACCTAACTGACAAAGTAACGAACAAAAAATAACAAATAAAATTACACATGCTGACAAACAAACCGATTAATAAAATTGCACATGCTGACAAACAAACCAATTAATCCAAGTGCCCAAAGAAATAATAGCGGTATTTATAATGACCGGGCAATGTAAGAAATTATCGTAAAGTAATTCAAATTTATCAAATTGCCCAATTTTAATGGTCATTATTCATAATAACTAAGCATTATGAATACTGACCTAAATAATTACATTGCCCGTAACATATATAAGCGGGAAACAGACAATATGCATGTAGTGTGTATGTACTTAGCTCCAAGTCGTTTTATCTGTAGCTTTGTTTATTGGGCTAGTGAGATTCTTGGAAAGCGATCATCTGCATTTTGGTGTTGTGGTCAATTGTAAGTCAATTGCATTCATAATGAAGAGACAAGCTTCTATTAAAAAAATTTTTGCAAAGAAAAAGATTGTAAATAAGTCTGTTAGAGACAGTACTGAAGTTGGCTGTGCTACTAAGAATGTTTCTTCTGGTGTCGAAGGTATTGGCACGGTTGATCCACATCCAGCCCCAATTACAGAGGATTTCAACCAGGTAAAAAGAAATATCTATGATATTGGAAACTATTGTCGAAACGATTCCGTTCGTTCGTTAACAAATGAAGAAAAAATTTCGCTTGTAGAAAATGTTTGGAAACCACAACTTGCATACAAATTTCCTTCTAATTCCAGTTGTTCTACTTCAACCCATACTAGAACTTTTCAAATGAAATGGTTAGAAGAATTTGAGTAGTTAGCATATTCTGAAGAAAAATCCGGATCTTTTTGTAAATATTGCGTAAAATTTTTACCTTCCAATGGTGTAGGAAAAGGAGATCATCAAGTAACAGGGGCATTAGTAACACAGGCATTTAATAATTTGAAAAAAAAAGCCAAGGAAATATTTCGTAAACATGAAAATTGCACTTATCATAAAACATCAGTTTTGATTGCTGAAGACACAAAATCCATTGTAAAAAAAAAAAGCTGACAGTGTTATCAATCAAGTCAATGCTCGAAGAAAGTTGGATATTGAAAAAAACAGAAAAAGATTAATTTCTATAATACAAACTATAACATTTTATGGAAGGCAACAAATAGCAGTGAGAGGTCATCGTGATGGTTGACGAATAGGTCTAGAATAACCCGAAAAAAAATGACGGAAATTTTCGATCATTGCTGAGATATCGAGCTAACAGTGGAGATAAAGACAAATTAATGAGCAGTGGTGGGAAGAGTATGTACACCAGTTCTTTTATTCAAAACAAGCTCATTGACACGTTTGGTCATTTAATCCAATCTCAAATTGTGACAAATGTCAGGAAGTCTATTTTTTATTCCATTTTAGCAGATGAACCCACTGTCATTAGCCAAGTAGAGCAGTTTTCTCTTTGTGTACTGTATGTTGAAGTCCAATCACACAAAATTAGAGAAGATTTTTTAACTTTTGTCCCCGTTAATGACTTTACTGGTGCAGGCTTAGCTAACATAGTGTTGGAGACCTTGTCAAGTTTAGGATTTGACTTAAAGAAAATGAGAGGTCAAGGATAAGACGGTGCTTTCGCGATGAGAGGGCAGTTCAGAGGGGTACAAGCTTTTATCAGAGAAAAACTTCCACTGGCCTTACATAGTCTAAATCATCACATAGTCACCATTCATAACATAGTCTAAATTTGTGTTTGCCAGATGCAAGTAACATCCCTTCTATAAGAAATTGCATGGGCGTATCAATGATGTCTGCGGATTTTTCCACAAGTCAGCCAAACGAACTGCAATACTGAAATCGACGATATCTGACTGCTGTCCTGAACAGAAAAAAAGAAACATATTTCAATCTGTGAAACACGATGGGTGGGGTACAGCTCTATCCATCCTCGGAAGTTCCTACCTGGGTTTAACCCCATAATTATCTCACACCACCTGCCTTCGATTAACTACCCTCCTATCAGCTCAAGATCGACTGCCGCATTAAAATTTTAAGCGTGTGCGCCAGAATAGCGAAATAAAGCCAAATCTGGATGGATGAAACTGATGGCCGCCTTCTTATGAATCACTTGCAAAATAGTCGTCTTCAATGATTTGTAGTTACAAAAATTTTGCAGCTAAGAACATGCGAAAAAAAATGGCGATGCCGAATAAAAAACAAATACCAGTCGAAATATCTGTACATAAAAAATATTTCTTAATGTGTGTGCGTGTGTTTTTTTAAAATTTAGAACTGCAATGTAAAAATTATTCTGACAATTAAAAATTTTCTTTATACATTTCTAATATGATTAATTATTAATTTTATAGGGTGGTCGAATTCTCTAATTAACTTTGTGAAAGTTTTCATGAATTATTTTTTTTGAATTTAAAGAATTAATTTTTAAAAATTTTAATGTTGAAGTTATAAATGCTGTTGATAGAGGATAAAAAATTAATCCGATCAAAACTATTGTAATTTATCATTTCTTAATAATGTGAATATTTCTCTTTATCAATTAAATATTTTTATTTTCCGTTTAAAAAATGACAATTTCGATATAAATCTAGATAAATTAAACTGCAACACGATGAGAAAAATACTATACATAAAGCTGCTTAAATTTGTAATATATTTGCAATTAATAACAAATAATTTGCAATTAATTTGTCATTAAATTAATAAATAAAAAATTCCATTTATTGTAAAACTCTTTCTCCAAAAATTTCATGCAAAACGTACTATTATAGATAAGTCATTATTATTTATTATTTAATTTATGCTGAGAAAAGTTTTGTACTGTAAAGTATAAAAAATTTCATGTCATTTTAAATGATGTAATTTCAAGTAAAAAAATTTGAACAAAAGCGTCTGAATTGTTACTGAGGACAGAAATTTCAAAGATATCGGGCTTTGGAAATATTCCCAAACTATTTTGCCGATTTTGTGTAAGTGTTTTTTTTTCTTCATTTAATAATATAGTTTAAAATAAGATAAATACTTGCATATTTTACTCTTCTATACATTTGTGACTATTATTAATTAAAATTAAGTAATTATATTTATTCTTACAAAGTTATATTTTCTATTAAATTTTCTTTGTATAAACGAGTCTTATAACTGTGTACAGTTTTTTTCAACTTATTAACAACAGTCAACATATTACTTTCAAACCATTAAAATTGAAACGTAATGAAATTTCAATTACTAAAATCAAAGTTGTGTAGGGTGTTAAGCTTTGCTTTCATTTTATAAACATAGCATTTATACGAAAAGTATTATATACTCTAGGTTTAGAGCTTTAATTCACAGGAAGTAACGCCTACAAAATTGTTTATTATAGATATGTTATTAAATTAAAAACTTAAGTTAGTTTATTCTCTAGTTTTTATTTATTAATTTTAAGTGAATGAGCGGCAAAGAATATTTTTGCTTGGGCTTGGAAATTAGCTTATATAAATCTTGAACGACTTCTTTCCACTTCAAATAATAGTTTCATAGTTTGAAAAATGACACATTTTGGATTCTCCTAAGACTATTTGTACACTTTATTAGCTTTTAAGTATAACTCTGTAACTACTTGTGCACACTCAATTATTAAAAAACTTGTTCACGAGAAAATTGATGTTATGCACATAAAAAATTTATAATACTTAATTATTTCTCTAATTTAAATGGGAAAACTATGAAACAGTTATTTAATCGTAACAATACATACAACTAATTTGAAAATATTAAATCGGACAATCGGGCGGGACTTGGTATCACCCCCCCCCCAGTCAAAAAAAAGTT